CAGACCCCTCAGCCTCAGGAAGTTTTTAGCTACCAAAAATAATCACCAGGCCCTGGCTAATATTTTTAACGACCGTGCGTTCTTGGGAATTTCCTCTTCCCTCCATGGAGATAAGTGATTAAACAAAATAAAGGCAGTGGCCATTTTGACAGACTGCGACGTGTCAGAGAGGAGAAATATCAACAGTTCTATTTTTTTTTTTTTTTTTTTTTTAAATCTTTTTCCTAAGTCCTGACTTCTGCATTCGCTGTCTGACTTTTAGGGTGAATTCCACTTCTCTCTTATGCTGCTGAAATCCAGTGAGGTCAGCAAAAAAAAAAAAAAAAGCCATGGAAGTTTCCTGGGTAGGACTTTTAAGCCAAGGTATTAAATCCACTAATGGGAGACACTTATCTCTTGCACGCCTTATTAATTTTATAAAAAGGCTGTGGAGCTCTATTCAGCTGGGTGTTATTTGGCTGGATCATTTTTGTACAACACCATTAGTGTAACGTCCTGTCCATTCTTCAGGTCTTCTCCATGGAGATCTCCTCTGGACTTTGTCCCACACAACCACATCTGAACCAGCCCTTGGAGTGTGGTTTTTTTCCCCCTGCATAGAATTTTTTTGAGGTAGAAAAGTTTTTAATCAGTTGCAGGTGTTTTGTGCTGTGACTGAGAAGATTTAAAATGTTGATTTTTGTCGTCTACAGTGACCAGTAAGAGTTGCTGGGAAAGGGATTGTTGGCTGCAGGCAGGGAAGAGGAAGAGGAGGGAATAACCCAGAAACCTTTCCAAGGACATGGTGTGATATGATAAAGAGAAATAGCTTTAAACTGAAGGAATTTTTAATTGATTTTAGGGATAAATCCTTCCCTATGAGGATGAGCAGGCCCTGGCACAGGGTGCCCAGGGAATCTGTGGCTGTTTCTGGATCCCTGGAAGTGTCCAAGGCCAGGCTGGACAGGGCTTGGAGTAACCTGGGACAGTGGAAGATGTCCCTGCCCATGGCAGGAGGTGGGGTGGGATGGGCTTTAAGTTTCTTTCCAACCCAAATCAAACTGGGATTCTACCAATGTGTTACTTTTGGTAGAGAATTCAAAATTAGTGTCTTGGATCTTTGCTGAAAGCAAAACTCTGCATTTAGGATTTGGACTGTGTTGTCAAATAACAGCAAAAATAAATTAATGGTTGTTAATGTATCCACAGAGGTGTTTCTGGTGCAAGAAAGGGGCAGCTGGATTAACAGAGTGTAATTTTTGCAGTAGAAAGCATTTTCTCATCTTCCTGTGGTGGTGGGAGCTGGCTCCAAGGCAGACACCAGGAGTGTGCATCACATAATTCCTCAGAGAATTTGGGGGGAATGGGCCGGATTCCCAGCCCAGCAATAAACCCGGGCACCTTTTTTGGTCTGTGATAATCTTTCTCCACAGGGATTTGCAACAGGAGATGCCCTGCAGCTTTACAGGCTGAGGAAACGTGCTCTGGACAGCACACACTGCACCCCTGCAGTGCAGAGCTGATCCATCCTGTGTGTCTTTCCATTTCCATGGCTTTTCTCAAAGATAGAGCCTTGCTGCAATATTTTCTGAGTGCTCTCTGCAGCCAGTATCTGTGAGTGATACAAGCTGCTCCCCCAGGACAGCACTGAAACCTTATCTGCCACCAAAGGGCAGATAACAGAGCCCTTCAGCACGCTGCCTTGGCCAAAGGGAGGCTCTGGGCTTTTCCCCAGCTCTGCTTTCCCCAGTTCTGTGCTTTTCAAAGTTTTGTGGTTTTGCCCAGCTCTGTGCTTTTCCCAGTTCTGTGCTTTTCCCCACTTCTGTGCTTTTCCCCTCTCAGTGCTTTTCCCCAGCTCTCTGCTTTCCCCAGCTCTGTGCTGTTCCCCAGCTCTGTGCTGTTCCCCAGCTCTGTGCTTTTCCCCAACTCTCTGCTTTCCCCAGCTCTGTGCTGTTCCCCAGCTCTGTGCTGTTCCCCAGTTCTGTGCTTTTCCCCAGCTCTTTGCTTTTCCCCAGCTCTATGCTTTCCCCAGCTCTGTGCTTTTCCCCAGTTCTGTGCTTTTCCCAGCTCTGTGCTTTTCCCAGCTCTGTGCTTTTCCCCTCTCAGTGCTTTTCCCCAGTTCTGTGCTTTCCCCAGTTCTGTGCTTATCCCCAGTTCTGTGCTTTTCCCCAGCTCTTTGCTTTCCCCAGCTCTATGCTTTGCCCACTTCTGTGCTTTCCCCACTTCTGTGCTTTTCCCCATCTCTGTTCTTTTCCCAGCTCTGTGCTCCCTGCAGGCACAGCAGCAGCAGCAGGGCATGGCCATGTCCCCACATTGCCCACCCTGGGGTCCCAGTCCTGCAGAGCAGCAGAGTTTGCTCCCCAATCTTTGCTGCCCGTGTTCAAGACTTGCACAATATTGAATCTCTGCTCCCTCACTTTCTCCCCTCCTCTTATCAGGCTTTCCTTGAGCTGTGTGGCAGGAGTGAGAGGGGAGGCTGATGCAGGGTGCAGATGAAGCATTCCAAAGGTTGTGTTGTCACTCTGCCCACTCTGAGACCTGCCAGAGCTGTCCCAAGACGCTGCTGAGCCACCCACACCTGGAAAATGGGATTAGGACCAGCTCCCTGTGCAATGTGATGTCAAATATCTAATTATCAATTTGCTAGCAATTAGGTTCTGCTTTTAATGAGCAGCTACTTGGCGAGGAGGCCTTGTGGGTGTCAGAGACTTTGGAAAATGTCTTTATTGCAGAAGTGAGACTTCCAGGAGGAACGAAGAGAGTGGCTGCTCTGCTCTGCGGGGTCCCTCTGCCACGGTGGTGACACAGGACGTCACCTTGGGGTGGGCTGGGCAGTGCCAGCCTCCGTGGAGATGCCAGCAGGAGAATTTGGGGACAATGGGAGGCACAGGCAGAGGTGTGGGCACAGCTGGCATGGCTGAGCGTGAGGCGCCAACATCCTCTGGCTCCCTCCTTCCCTCCCTCCCTCCCTTACACCATAACTCAGCCTTGGCTGCCTCCCAGCTTTTCCCCCAGCACCGACTTCCCTGGGAGGACAAGAAGAAGCGTCACAATTTCAGATTTCAACCCCTCCATTCATGTGGCCCCTGCTGACCAGCAGTGCCTGCTCAGGGCTCCAAACCCTGGGTAAACAGGAAAGGTTTTCCACACATCCCATTTCGGTCCAGCTCCTGCTCCATGCGTGGTTCTGGGTGTGCTCAGAGGTGTGGGTGACAATGGTGACAATGTCCCCGTTGTGCCCTGTGACCTGCATCCATCCCAGCACAGATGGCACAGGGCCAGCAGATGGTAAAATTTTAGTTTTAGGGAGAGTTTTAGGGAGAGTTCTGGAGATGTTTGGCATCACAGGGCTGAGCCTGTGTGTGTGTGTGCTGAGAGCCCTGGATTTGAGATCCCTCATCCCACAGGTGACACAAGCCATCCACCTGACCCCTGTGCCTTTCCATAGGGAACTGCTGCTTAAAACCCATCCCTGAGGGGAAAAGAGGGAGATGGAGCCTCCCTGCAGTTAATCTGAGCACCCAGGCACACATTTGTGCCTCGAGGTGATTCCCCTGGGCATCTGTGCACCCAAAGATTCCCTCAGCTGGGAATGCCAGCACACTGGGAATGCCAGCACACTGGGAATGCTCACACATGGGGTGCACAATCACCTGGTGCTGGGGAGGGTGATGGGCAGCCTCCAGAACCCTTTCTGCCAAGGAAAACAAGAGGGGGCTTTCTTTAGCCATGCATTTATATAAATAAACACAGGAATATTTTGCAGCTCCCGGGGGGGGGGGTTTGCCCAGAGCTCTGTTCTGCTGAATCAGGGTGGGAGTAATTCCCTGCTCCCTGTGAGCCTGTGCAGGAGCTGCTGGGCACACAGGGGAGCCCCAGGGGCCACATGGCCCTAAATCCATGCCAGGCACAGGAGCAGAACCCACGGGCTGCTGTGGGTAATTGCCACTGCCACAGCCATTTTGTGCTCCAAAATTCCTCTGCTTTCAGTCTGGATTGAAGTACCAAAATCCCATTAAAAACTGTGTTGTTCCTGCTTTGGTTGGCCAGAACTGAGGTCACACACACCCAGTGATTATATTTGAAATGCAATCAGTTTTACACCTGAATGGGCTTGAAAATTAGGGCATCAGGGCAGTTGTTTCTATGTTCCTCTGTTGCCTGGCCCTGAAGAGAGCACCTTTGTCAGGTGATGTCCTGCAGGTTTAGTGGTCCAAACCATGTCCCAACACAGTGTGACAGGGTGGCAATAAACCGAGCACAGCCTCGTAACCCAAATTTTGAAGGGCCACAAATACCCCAGAAGCTGCTCCACTGCTGGTCAACATCAACATGGCCCTTCTTGAGGAGGTGGCCACCAGCCCTGCCATGCTTGGCACAAGTCCCTGATGCTGTGGGGGGTGTCCCCAGTGTCCCCATTTGAGGGGGAATGGGAGGTGGCTGCAGTGGGAGCTGCCAAAATGTGCCCCATCCAGGCGGGATGGGCATCCCACCCATCTGAGGCCTGGTGTGAGGCTCAGCAGGGAGCCTGGGCCAGCAGCCCTGTCCCTCCCCGTGTCCCCAGGGACTCGTGGCTGCCTCTTCTCGGTGTCAGCCCCGGTGGGCTCAGCCTGGGGGTCCCGCCCCGTGGCCCCTCTCCCCCTCGGGGCGGCCGTGTTTGTTCTCCTCGCCGCGCCCGTTATCAGCTCACAACACACACAGGAAGTCCTGTCTGGGATTGTCCATCCCCGGCCTGATTTATACAGGAAGAAAAGCATAAAAAGCCGCCCTTCCACCTCGGCAGCCACCTCCTGCCTGTGCGCGGCCGCCGGCCGGCCATGCTGGGGACAGCAGGGCCACCAGCACGGTGCCTGGGGCCACTGGACACGGGGTGGCCGGGCAGGGATGGCCATCAGGAGCCACCAGGGAGCACAGCAGGGGACAGCAGGGCGGCCAAGGTACCACAGAGCCACAGCGGGGATGGACGGGATGGGATGGGATGGGATGGGATGGGATGGGATGGGATGGGATGGGGAGCTGGCACTGCAGGCAGCAGGACTGCATGTCCTTGTGAGCTCTGAGTGGGTTTTGCCCCTGCTCGTGGTGCTGGGAGCCTTTGGGTTGTTTGAACACCCAGCAGAGAGTGAGCAGGTGTGTGGAGCATCCCTTGGAGCACACAGGGGTGTGTGGAGCATCCCTTGGAGCACACAGGGGTGTGAGGCAGCCAAGCCTGGATCTGCTGTCAGCCACGTGCTGAGCACGGCTTTGCTCTGAGCCGAGCCCGGCCTCCAGCACTGCTATTTTTAAGTCACCCCACTGGCACTCGGGCTGTTTTCACGGGGAGGAGAAGCCAATGGGTGAATTTTACCTCCTGTGCATGTAGAGGCTGCAAACACTTGCACAAATTCCTGTGAGATAGCTGGAAATTCTTGGCTAATCTCTTTTCTTTCTGTAACTCCCTCCCTTTTCCCTCTGCCCGCTCTCTGGATGCCTCTGATCCATCACCACGCTGTCCATGCTCCCTGCTCTGCTCCCTGCCCTCTGCTCCCCTCTGTGTGCTGCTGAATTCACCCCAGACCCGGCTGGGATGTGGGGCAGGGACTGTCCTGGCTGTCCCACCAAGGCTTGTCCTGACTGACAGCCGAGCCTGGATCATGCTGGGTGTGCACTCCAGGAGCTCAGCTCTGCTCCCAGATTTATAACCACGGAGCTGGGTGGTTTTCCTGCTGTCTGCAGCTACCTGTGGGTCCTGCTGTCCTCATCTGTGACATTGCACAGTGCAGGCAGGAGGCTTTCAGTGAGGCACCCAGGGTATTTTGGGATAAAGGAACAGCTGGGATATCCAGGCACTGTCTGGCTGCACAGGGATATGGAGCTGAACCACGCCAGTGAAGGGCTCTTGGTAGAAATAACCCAGCATATTTTTTCCCAGGGTCCAACATCCATGGAACCAACTCCCCGAGCAGAGAATCAAACACAGAAAGGAACAACGAGGCTTTGTCAGTGATTAAATTAATTCCAAGCTGGATTGGGAAGGTCTGGCAGTGTTTGGGAGGCTGTGGAAGGCTGTTGTGGCTGGAGCATCCTCAAAAATGCACCTCACCTCTGGGCAGCAGTGGAAAACACGGATCTGCCCCGGCAGATTCTCACTGCTCTTCCCTGGAATCTGCCGATGGAGCTACTCCCTCCTCTCTGCTGTTCCACTACCAGCTCTCCCAAGTTTCCCTGGAGGTAAGGACGAGAAATTGAATCTGGCTCGTTTGAGCCTTTTCCCAGGCTCTGCTGCTGCAGATGGGGCTGGCCCGGGGGAGGCAGATTTACAAACTGCAACAAATTGGGGTAAACGAGCCCATCCCCACAGTCCCAGCAGCAGCAGGAGGGCTGGGAGGAACACCAGGGAAGAGGTCCCAGACCTGACAGGGAAACAAAAGTGTTCGTGCAAAAAGAAAATGGGATCAGAACTGTTCTTTCTCCCAAAGTGAGCGCCGGGATCCCCATCCTAGGGCTGGTTCCTGCAGCTGGAGACTTTCCCCTGGAAGAGAAAGATAATCAGAAATTATTCTTGTGTGAAAGACTCTGTGCTGGGCTGTTCCCTGGGATGGAGAAGGGGCTGATTCACTGGGAATGTGGGGTGGGGGACCACTGCCAGGTTTTGTCCGGGAAATTTTACAGAAAGACTCAAAATTCAGTTTATTCTTGGATGGAATGAATAATTTCTCAGTTTCTATACTTCAGCCATTGCTACCTCCTCTAAAAGTAAATAAAAATTCAAGTGTGCATGTGAGGGGAAATAAAGCTGGCTATGGGATGGTGCCCTGTTCCTACATTTGTTTTTGCACAGCTCCAGCTCAGCTGCTGATTTTCCCTATGGGCACCTTAAGTTATAACACACTTGTCCTGAGACAATTAATGCTTGTGAAGTCCTTACACAGGCAAAAAAAAATCACTTTGTGGGGCCTCAGTTTTAATATGCAGAGCCACTGGTGACAACAGAGTGAGAGTTATGGGTCAAGTCCTTTTCTTGGTTTGACCTGGTTTTATCCCACTGCCATCAGTGGACTCCTCTAGATCTCCTCTGAGGTATCTGGGGTGCAGCTGACACAGCTGAGAACAATATGGGCCACAGCAGAATAGTGGGAGGTCATTTTCCTCACAGAGCTCTGCAGAACAGGGGCTGCTCCAAAGCTTAGACTGAAGTGTAAAGTTTACAAACAGCCTCATGAAAAGGCTGAGCAGAAGAATTTGTCCTAGAACAGCAAAAGCCATTCCTCGTCTTTTTTTTTTTTTTTTTTTTTTTTTTGATTGAGAAGCACCAAAAATTCCCTTTTGCTTTAGCAAGTGCTTCCAGTTCTGTGCCAGACCCCCGTGGAGAGCAGTGAGAGCCCTTTGTGCACCGCAGGTATGGGGTCAGCCACGGCTTGTGGGGGCTGAAAAGTTTTGCATCTGTATGTGTGTCACTCTCCTGCCTGTGTCCCCATGTCCCCATCCATCTGTCACTCCAGTCTGGGCAGAGCTCGTGTGCCTGGGCACGTCCCATTTTCTGTGAGGGGCTGGAAGTGCTCCTCTCTAAAGAGCAGGTTCCTGATGTGGGACTTTAATGCTGATCTATTAATTCTTCAGGCTCTCCCAGCAAACAGGGAGGCACTTCCAGCCCTCAGATCCAGCCCTCAATCCATCAAGGATGCTCTCAGGGGGATGTTGGATGCCCAGGCAGGTGCAGGGGGCTTGGCAGGCTCTAGGAAATTGGGAAATGGGTAAAAATCTCACCTGCACAGCCAGCCCTGGTGCTCAGCCTGGGATCTGCTCAGGGCCAGCACTTGCTGTCCCTCCCAGCTCACACTGGTGCTAAAACCAGTGGGAGACAAGGAGGTTTTGACATTGTTGAATCTAAAAGGGAGGTTGGGCAGAAACATTTCTTTCCTGGCCTGGAGACAAGCATTAATATTAGATGTCGTGGGAGTACACTTCTGGTGTGCAAGGGAGAAAAACCGTGGGGGAAAAATGTAAAACATCGGGCAAGGGAGGACTTTGAATTCAGGCAGGAGCCAAAATCCCCTGCTGCCTTTGTCAGGAGCTCATCACCCTGCCATGAGCAATGCCAGCAGATCTGATCTTCCCCCACTCTGAACTGGCACAACTCCTCTGCTTCCAAGGGAACTTTGCCAGGCCTTGTCCTGGGGGATTTCCCTCCCGGCAGAATGAATATTAGCACAGAAGACACAGAACCCTCCCTGAGAGCGGGGGATTAAATGCTCTTTTAATGGGCTGTGTGCAGTTCTTTAGCAGCTGACACGGGCACTTGCTCGAGCAAAGATTTGACCCAATGAATGGAGCTGGAAAGGAAACTTTCTGCAATTAAAATACTGGCAGAATTTTTAAATGCTCAGTGTGCTTAGGGAGTCGCTGCCTATGGCAGCTCCAGTGGAGTGTCTGGGACAGCACAGGGTCCTGTGCTGTGTGCTGGTGTCCTGTGAGGAGCTGAAGGATGAGTCCATCCTCTTCCTCACCATCAAATTTGCACTTGGAATCCCAGGGATTCATGCAAAGGTTTCCTGGGCAATGAGGGGTTTTGTCCTTAAATGAGGGTAAACGGCAAAATAGGGTGTAATGGTAAAGTGAATAGAGTGTAATGGTAAAATAGAGTGCAATGGTAAAATAGAGTGCAATGGTAAAATAGAGTGTTGGGGAACAGCAGATGGGATCACAAATCAGCCAGGTGAGCTTGGGTACACCTGAGAGAATGTGCCAGGTGCACTCAAGTTCTCCTGGGTTCTTGGAAAAATCCCAGCCTCGAGCATTGGCAAAGCTGCTGGAGGGGACAGATCCTGCTCAGGAAATCCCTTCTGCTCTGCTCAGCCCCTGCTCATCCCCCAGTTTGCTCAGGAAAAGGCAGCGTGGCTTTGCCTGGATTCCCACTGGGATCACAGCAAGGTGAGGGAGGATCAGGGCCATAGGATGCTCCTAAAACACCCCCTGTGGGATAGGGATGGATTTCCTCAGGTCTGTGCCTCTCTGTCACACCAGCGGTGTGAGCTCAGTGCCACAGGGACTCTGTGGCCACCACCCTGCTCTGCAGGGATCTTTGGGAGTGTCCAGGGAATGCCAGGTCCGTGGTGGGCAAGGGCTGGGTCACTGCTGTCAGTCTGTCTGACAAAGGGAGTGTAACACTGAGCTTTTTCTGTCCTCACAGAAAGAAACCAAGATGTTCCATAAGCAAAGGTTCCCTGCCCAGGACATCTGATGGAGCACTGTGGATGAGGTGAGTTATCTCAGCTGCAAAATGAGATCCTGTGCTTTCAGTACGGCCATACAGAGAAACTCTGGCTTCCACAGGCATTTTGCAATTATTAGACAATAATTCAGGCTCTGTTCATCTCCCCCATACACCAGAAAAAAACCCAATAACGCTCTCTGCATAACAAGATAATTACTGTGTTTCCAAGGCTCTTGGGAGAAGTTGCCTGTGCTGATGAAATTAAGAGAGCTGAAATAATTCCCCAGAGGTAGAATGAGCCCAGAGGGTGAACAAACCCGTGTGAGATGCTGTAGAGTTGCACTTCCACCAGCTCCAGCAAACCTTTCCCTGCTGCTGGGAGGGATCTCCATCTCCAGCAGCACTTCCAGAGAGGATTCCCCTCTTCTCCCTTCTCAGGGAGGATCCCACCAAAACTCCTTTCATACTGAGAGCCCCAAGCCCCCATCAGCTTCCCCAGAGGGCGCAGCACGGCCCGAGGCAGCTCCAGTTCCATCAGCAGCCCCAGCTATCCACGAGGAAATAGAAGGGATGGGCCAGTGATCTCAGTTGTTCTCTTGGAGCCATTATTGTTGAACTGGTAAATATTTCCTTTAAATGCTTACATGTTTTGAAAAAATTTACAGGGCTTAATGGGAACAAATATTCCCAGGGGGCTGTATCCTGCCATTCATTTGCACATCAGATCCCTGCTATCTTTAAGAATGGTTCTGTGCATGGGCAGGCGCCTAAGTCATCTGAGAAACAATAACCCTCTGTGCTCTAATTTTCCAGACAAAAATGTAGACAAAACAAGTGGCAATTTGGCACAAACCGAGCCGCTTTGATAAATAACTGGGCATTTAAGAGGAGAAGCCTGTAGGCAGCTGGGCTCGGGCTGTCCCGGGGCAGGTGTTGGGCAGTCAGAGCTGAGCCCTGGGTGTCACCCTGGAGAGTCTCCCTGCAGTTGGGGGCTTCCGAGGAATTCTCTAAGCATCTTTTATGGTTTGCTGGAAACCTGGTGGTTCATCACCCGCTCCTGCAGGACTTTAGGATGAGCTCAGGGGGATTAACGGGCACGGGGGAGGGTCTGGAGCAGGTCTCTAACCTAGGCAGAGGTGATGTCTGCTCCTAAAATCCTCCGTGCTCACAGTGGGGTGTGCGGACCGGCACAGTAATTTGTAGTAAAGAGAATTAAATTTAGTCACTGGAGTGGTGATAGACCATTCCCTGGGGAGTCTGCACACCCCTGGCCGAGGGTCGGGATCTCTCGCTGTTAATCCCCAGGGCTGGGCCGGGCGACTGGGGGGCCAGCACCGACTGCGGGTCCTCGCAACGTGGGGCTGTAGGACTATGGGGCTGGGGGCTGTAGGACTATGGGGCTGGGGGCTGTGGGGCTATGGGGCTGTAGGGCTGGGGGCTGTGGGGCTATGGGGCTGTAGGGCTGGGGGCTGCAGGGATATGGGGCTGTAGGGCTATGAGCCTGGGGGCTCATCCCGCTTTGGGCTCACCAGGTAAGGCTCCAGATCCACGCAGGACAGGGATCCCCAACAATCCTGTCCCCATCGGCGACAACATTTGGGACACTACAGCAGTGTCCCCTCACCCCGGGCGGTCTCGGGGGGTCCTGCCCTGTCCCCGCAGGTCTCCGCCGCGGTTCCCGCTGGCTCCGGCGGTGCTGCCCGCTCCCCGCCCGTGTCCCGGGGAGCCGGGGGCAGGTGGCGGCCGGCGGGGGCCGGCGGGGCGGGGGCAGGCGGAGATCCCCGGGCCCCGGCGCTTCCCCCCGGCCGGGAGGCTCCGCTTTCCTCCCCGCCGGGAGCTCATTGGGCCGGGGCGGAGGGACCGGCTCGGGCCGGGGGAGGAAATGCGAGGGGGGCCGAGGCGAGGCGGCGACTCCGCGGCTCCGCCACCGGCACCGGTGAGTCCCGGAGGGCTCCACCCGGGGCTCGGCACGGCCCGGAGGGCTCGGCACGGCCCGGGGGGGGGGGGGCTCGGCCGCATCCCCGGAGGGGAGGAACGGGGGATGGGGGTGCCAGAGGAGCGGGGCTCGGTACCGCAATGTGGGGAGGGAAGGGGTGCTGGGCCGGCGGGAGGGGACAGCGCCGGGGGAGCGGGGACCGGGTTGCTGCGGCCGCGGGAGCATCCTCGGGAACATCTGTGTCCATGGCTCCCACTGGGAACACCCGTGTCTCTGCCTCCTCCCGGGATATCCACGTCCCTGCCTCTCTCCGGGACACCCGTGTCCCTACAGCCACCCGGGGACACCCGTGTCCCTGCCTCCCTCCTGGGACACCGGTGTCCCTATAGCCCCCCAAAACCCATGTCCCTATAGCCCCCCGGGGACACCGGTGTCCCTATAGCCCCCCAAAACCCATGTCCCTATAGCCGCCCGGGGACACCGGTGTCCCTATAGCCCCCCAAAACCCATCTCCCTATAGCCCCCCGGGGACACCGGTGTCCCTATAGCCCCCCAAAACCCATCTCCCTATAGCCCCCCGGGGACACCGGTGTCCCTATAGCCCCCCAAAACCCATCTCCCTATAGCCCCCCGCGGACACCGGTGTCCCTATAGCCCCCCAAAACCCATGTCCCTACAGTTCCCCGGGACACCCGCAGCCCCCGGCGTTTCGGGCTCCCTGCATGGTATCAGTGTCCCCGCGGTGTCGCCGTGCCCCTCCGGACAATGGCACAGCCCCCTCCGCGGTGTCACCATGGCCGTGTCCCTCTCCATGCCGCCGTCCCGCATCCCAGCTGCGCAGGGAACAGCTGGAGGTGTCTGGCACGGAGAATCCATCCCCCTGCGGCTGGTGCTGAGCCTCTGCGGGAGGGTTTGGCTCTGGGAGCACAGAGCAGGTTTGGAGCCGCGGTTTCACCTGCACAACCAGGCCAGGCTGTCTGGAAAAGTGTTCTGTCCCGGGAGAGCCATCCCATCCTCGCCAGGGGCTGGGTTCTCTCATCCCTTCACAGCCAGGGCAGATTCCTCCTGCTGCCATCAGCTGGAGTTTTACCTTGGTTCCGTGGGCAGAGCTGCAGAAAGTGCTGCTCACCTGCACCGTGGGGTCGTTTGTCCCCTTGGTTGCTGTGGCAGGTGAGGCAGGAGCAGAATTTTAGGAATTTAGGAGAATTTTGGGAATTTAGGAGAATTTTGGGGATGGTTCTGGCTGGTGGGGCAGGGACCTGCAGACTCGCAGGAGCACGTGGTCAGCCAAGGGGGATTTGCTGACCCCAAAGACATAATTTCACTTGTCAGACTCTTCGTTTGAGAGGCTTAAAAGGCAGAGACAAAAAAAGTATTTATTTTTTCTTGAGCATAATTTTTTCTTCCTTAAGTTTTGTGCTTTAAAAAAAGACTGGAATAGACTGTGGCAACAGGTTGAAGGATCTTCAACAGCTTTAAAGAGGTTGATTTTTGTAAGTCCATAAAAGAGACAAGCTTAGACTATCACATTTTCTACTTCTGCAGCTTTTTCTGGTATGAAACAACCATAATTTTATCACCCAGAGGGATCCTCTGAATGCTTGAGGTAGGGCAGTGCTGCTCCAGTTCAAAGTGAAAAAACAAACTCTGTATTTTAGGCTCGTGCCCTGTGTTTCTTGCCCTCCCCACAAGGAAAGCTCCCATGGCAGCCACGGGAATCCTGTGGGAGGATGGAGATGGTTGGCAGAATTTGATTTCCAGACTGGAGGAGCAGCACTGAGAGCCCAGAATCTGGGATTGGAGGGAGGTTTTGTGTCCCAGTATAGCCCTGGGAAAAGCTGGCTGGTGGAGCAAAGGGGAGTTGGTGTGTGTCTGTGCACCAGTGTCCTTGGAATGTCTCCAGGAGAACTGGGGACAGGGAAAGCTCCTTCACTATTTTTAAAATAACTTTCCTGCAGGACAAGCAAGATTTGCTTTCCTGATGGTGGAAGTACCATAAATTCATAATTAGGAAATGAAATTAATTGCTATGTTTGAAGGAGAATGGAGGACTACAGGCTTTAAAGCACCAAAATCCTCCTTCCATCCTCAGGGTCTGGGCTTGCATGGAAATCTGCTGGGATATTTGATATTTGACATTTGATATTAAGGGCCAGGAAGGCACTAGGCTGGTTTTTCTCCAGATGTGAATCTCCATCTCTCCCTGCCTCAGATTCTTCTCCTGCACCAAGACAAGGACTATCCTGAGTGCCTTGGAGAAGGGCTTGGAGACCTGCAGGGCCTGCAGATTTGCCATGGTTATTTGTAACAACCTGTCTTAGAGCTGGGATTTCCCAATGGAGTTTGGGGATCAAACTCCAATTTTCCAGTCCAATCCTGCCCCACAGCACTTGGGAGTTTTAGAAAGTTGATTTGCAGCTTGGTATCTGCAGTCTCAGAAGGAGGTTTTTTGCTGTGTAACCTCTCCTTTCAGAAAGTTTAATCAGAAGGGCTGATTCTCTCTTTAATTGGTGCATATTTAAGGTGGATTTCTTTATTTCTTTCTCCTTCAGCTGCTGCCATCCGGAGGCCAAGTGGTTTGTTTAAATGAGATATTGTTTAAATTGGATATTGTTACTGACCCTCTTCAGCCTTGTTTCGTATTTGTCCTCTGCTAGAAAATCAAAACCTCTCGGTTTGTGCCTCAGAACCAACTCTGCAGATGGTACACATGGCCCTTACAGCACTTTTCTCTGTCACGAATTTGTGTTTTAAAGAGAAGAAGATCAGATTTCAGTGTGTTATGTGGTGGGAAAACACAGCTTTACAATGCTGTGTGCATTAAGAAATGACGGGCCATTGTTTTGCCCTCGCTGCCTGGAACTGGCAGCGAGTTTCAAGGCAAAACACATCCCTTCCCTACCCTTCAACACAGCTCCTGGTGCCCTGAGAGCATCTCCAGGGGGTAAAGCAAGAATAATTCCTGAGTTAATGTTGTGCCACAGTGATGAGATGAGTGGGGTAAGGTGGGTTTGTGCCTGGAGCAGCTCCTGCCTCGCCAGGGCTTTGTCCCCAAGGCTCTGTTGGATGTCACCAGCTGGGCAGGGACACCTCATAGAATCACAGGATGAGCTAGGTTGGAAAAGACCTTTGGGATCATCAAAGGTGACCTAATCCTCATCAACCACACCACGTCCAGTGTTTTTATTAAACACATCCAGGGATGGTGACTCCACCGCCTCCCTGGGCACACGATTCCAGTGCCCAATCACTCTCTCAGTGACGAATTTTATTTCCCGGAATTTCCTGACGTTCTCCTGTTTGCAGGGATCCCCACTGAAGGCTGAGCCATGCAGTAGGAGCCAGCACAGCCCACGGAAGAGCAGGACCTGCAGGAGGGACGGGCCATGCGGAGCCTGGGCTGCCTCCCCTGGGGACTCCTCCTCATCCTCAGCACCACCAGCACCGAGGGCTTTGCCCGGGCAGGGTAAGACCCTGTTTTGTCTGCACCTCTCAGGTGTGTTCTCCACCCATCCTCTCTCGGGGAGGAACAGCTCTGTGTGGCTCTCTGGGCTGGTGAGGAGGTGGAAAAAGTTCTCCCAGCTCTGTTTGCTTTCTCACTCAAGCTAAAACATCTCTCAGAGAAAATGTCCCAGCTCTGTTTAATTCCAAAAACAGGGACACAAAGACTTTACAGGGATTTTTGTCCAGGAGAGTCAAAATCTCCTCAGGCCCTCAGCTGTTCAGGAATTATTGCTGTCTCTTTCAAGCACATCCTTCAGGAAAATATGTGTGAAATCCTGCTAGCACACACATCAAGCCTTGTGAACAAGCTGTCATTGGAGGGTGCAGCTCCCATCAGAGGAGGATTCAGCTCCCAGCTCTGATGGATCCAGGGACAGAGGTGTGGAAAGCCCTGGGCTGTGCTTTGAGCTCCCCTGGATGCTGCTGGGGCCCATGGTCCTGCAGGCCCAGCATCTCCAGCAATTCCCCTTCCCTTTCTGGGAAATGGGTCTGGGAGAACTCCCTGGATCCCAGCACAGCTCAGCTCCTGCTGGGTCTGAGGGAGCCCAGAGCTCACTGCCCCAGTTTCTTCCCCAGCTGAGAGGAGCTGGAGCTCAAACCCCGCCCCCAGACACAGCTCACATTTTCTACAAAGTTTGTTTTTACACTGAAATGCTCCTCCAGCATCAAACCTTTCACATTCTGTCCAGGACTGAAACCACAGCTGAATTCCTCACTCACACGCACAGGCTGCAGCTAAAACTTTGTTCTGAATTTTACAAAGCAAACAATTGCCATTTAAAAATTGCATCTTCTATAACATTAATCATGAGGCTGAGAGGAGTTTTCTGGAGTTAATGGAAACCATCTGATGTCCATGCTAATTCCCAGGCTTTTTATTTTAGTTTCTAATTGAGCTGGGAGGCTGAGACAAGTAGATGGGTTCCTCAGTGGGACTGACCTGCTTGGGCTGGAAATTGTTGAAAAAAAAGGATATTTAACCAAGACCACTTTGGCTGTTAACCTTGGGAAAGTTTTTGACTGGATAACACTTATCTTAGGAAGGCTGGGGAGTGCCTTTTATCCAACCTCTATTTTCTTTGCGGTGAGCCTGACCCTTCCTGTGAAATCATTAATTTCTTGGTGACCACTGGGGCATCTGTTTCAGGAATGCAAAAGTCTCAGAAAGGAAAAAATCCGCCCAGAAAGTGAGTGATTTTAGGGGAAGGGAGACAATGAACGTAGTGAGTAAATCATCCCTAAATCTGGGTCCCAACTGCTCCCCCGGGACGGGGGAGGAAGCGCCGGCACCGCTCAGTGCTCCAGAGTTGTGTCACTGACCCGAAACAGCTTGAAGTGGCTTCCCAGGTCACTGGGGCAACCAGCCACTGCTGTCCACTAGCCCTGTGCAGAGAGGGGAGCTCGGTGTGCTGGCTGTGGGGCTGATCCCATATCCTGGCTGTGGGGCTGATCCCATATCCTGGCTGTGGGGCTGATCCCATATCCTGGCTGTGGGGCTGGCCCCATGCCCTGGCTGTGGGGCTGTCCCCATGCCCTGGCTGTGGGGCTCACCTCTCTGTCCTGGCTGTGAGGCTGGTCCCATGCCCTGGCTGTGGGGCTCACCTCTCTGTGCTGGCTGTGGGGCTGTCCCCATGTCCTGGCTGTGGGGCTGGCCCCATGTCCTGGCTGTGGGGCTCACCTCTCTGTCCTGGCTGTGGGGCTCACCTCTCTGTGCTCAGCCGCAGGGTTTGTGCCGTGGGGCAGCCGAGCCACCGGAGTGTCCACACCGAGTCCCACGTGCAGCCCGTGTACCAGCCCTACCTCACCACCTGCCAGGGCCACCGCCTCTGCAGCACCTACAGGTGAGCCCAGCTACCTGTGCCACCGGGGCTTGTGGCAGCAGGGATCCTGCTCCATCCACAGGGATGGGGATTGCTCCCCTGGGAGCGCCCTGAGCTGCTGTGGGAGCAGGAATTGGGTTTGGGGCACTCAGCTCAGCCCATCCTTGCCTTGCAGGACCATCTACAGGGTTGCCTACAGGCAGAGGTACAGGCAGGTGCCTGAGCCCACGGCCTCGTGCTGTCCTGGCTGGAGCAGAGCAAACGGCCACACACTCGGCTGTAACAGAGGTGAGGAGCTGCTGGGTCATCCCAGTGTCACTGCCCATCCCCAAACCCCCTGTGTCCCTGGTGGAGATCCCAGGACTACAGCTCTCATTTATCTGTCAGGTGAATTCTCCCTGAATTAAATTTTCAGCATCACAGCCCAAATGCAGTTCAATATCCAATTAATTCCCAGCTTTTCTCTGCTGACTTTTGGGCCTTTTTCCTTTGGGATCACTTATTACCTTTATTATTACCAGAGGCTAAATAAAACAACTCCTTCCCATCTAAATCAGCAGGAATGGATGAGAAATGCTTTCAGGAGGCCACAAATGCAAACCACAGCAGCAGCAGCCAGTCTGTCCCCAGATGAGCTCAGAGCATGGCACCAGGGGCTGCTGCTGCCTGCTGCCCTCCTCCTTCCCATCTTTGCTGCCTTGTAGGCTCCTCAGCTTCTTTCCAGCTCCTCTTCCTTCCACCCGTCCTGATCCCTGCTCCCCCTGGGCAACTCAACCCGGCTGTGTGGTGCTGTTGGGTTTTGGGGTGTGCACACATGCAGGGGGGCAGGGAGGGAGCTGGGGACCTCCGGAGCTGCTGGGTGATGCTGTGCTGGTGTTCCCTGTCACAGCTCTCTGCTGGGAGCCGTGCCAGAACGGAGGGAGCTGCACCTTCCCCGGGAGATGCTCCTGCCCCCCCGGCTGGACGGGGAGAGCCTGCCAGACAGGTACTGTGGCCATGTCCCCCCTGTCCCCCTGTCCCTGCTCCCTGTGTCATACCTGCCCTGCTGCTGCTGGGAGAGCTTCTGGGAACATCCATGGGGCTCTGGGTGTCTTTTTGCCCTACACCAACCCCTCAAGGGGGACAGGGAGCAGAGCTCCTATCAGAGCTTGGGCCATGTCTGATTCTGTCCCTCTGCACACCTACTCCACGGAAGGATGGAAGTGTGGCTCCCAGGGGAGGTCTGATCTCCTTTTGGCTGCCTTGGTGCTCCCAGCCCTCCTGTGCAGCTCTGGCACCCCCATTTTCTCTGCTGGCTGCTCTGTGCTGGGTCAGTGTGAGCAGAGCTGTGATCACGTCAGCAAAAGCCTCTCTGCAGCACAGAGCCCTTGTGGGGCCGGCCTGAGATCCTGTGTTCGTGATCATCCCTCCCAGGCTTTGTAAACTCTTGATGTAAACTGAAATGCCCTTTTACTGCAAAGTCTAATAACCCATAAACCAAAAATATCCGGGGGTGGAGGGGAAGCCTGGTGATGTCCAGGCTCCTCTCCAGCACAGGAACAGCCCGATGCTCCTCACAGAAATCAGGCAGTTTGGTGCACACCAGTGCTGCAAAACCCTGCCATGGCATTTCCCAGCTTTTCCCATCTTTCCAGCCTCCTGTAAAGCAGAGGAGGAGCGTGTGGCATTGACCCATGCTGGGCCAGGCAGGGCTGAGCCCATCGCTGACAGCTCTGGCTCCGGGAGAAAGGATTTTCCCACTGCCTAAAACAGATTTGCCCGGGCGTGGGAAGCACTTCAGCTCTTTCTGCTTTGTGGGAACAGCTTTAATAACTCCCCCGTGTGAGGAGAGGTTACTGGGTTTTGTACACACTTGAAAGGCTGATAGCTCCTCGCCACAGCTGGCTGGAACCAAAACCCCGGCCGTAAATCCGGGATGAGAGCTGAGCGCTGCCTGCGCCCGCCTGGCCAGAACTGGGACATTTCTGACCACAGCTTTCACTTCTGGCTGTGTTCTGGGGGGAGCAGGAGGAGGGGAGGAGTCCAGGCTCCCTCCAGCTTAGCCCAGGCACTGGTGGTGCTGAGACACCCAGAGCTGTGCCTGGCACAAACACCAGCTCACCTGGGCAGCATTCACTGGGGTTCCATCACAGCCCCCCTGTGCCCCTCACCCTGTCCCATCCTCACTGAGCTGTTCCTGTGCTCCAGATGTGGACGAGTGTGCCAGCCAGAGCCACGGGTGCAGCCAGCTCTGCATCAACACAGCCGGGAGCTTCCACTGTGCCTGCCAGGACGGCTTCAGCCTCGCTGCCGATGACAAGGGCTGCCAGCCCCTGGTGCCACTGCCTGGGACAGACACCTCCAGCCAAGCAGGTAACCTGTCCCCAGCTGAGCCCCAGCTGCTGGGGGCCTGCAGTGAGAGCTGGGGTGACACTCAGCATCGTGGGAGTGGCAGGAGATGGGAGAGGGGACAACAGCCAGAGCCCCTCAGGTTTTTTCTCACTGACCCAGGAGTGCTTCTCCCACCCAAACAACTTCCCTTGAGCACAAACCCATCTGTGAGGGTGGCCTGGCTGTGGCTGGAGGTGTCTGGGATGTGTCTGTTCTCTCCATCATCATCCTCGTTCCTGCAGGGCAGGTCTGGAGCCTCGAGGAGCGGCGGGCGCCGCTGGTGACGGCCCATTATTACTTTTGGTACGCGCTGTGACACTTCAAACTCGTACCGTGAGTAATAATGCGCTGTGGCCAGCACGGGCATCACACAGCAAACATCTGGGACAGCAGGGCATGTGCCCCACCTGCCTCTATCCCTGCCCAGGGACAATCCCTTGTGCCCACCACAGCACAGGGCAGAGCTGGGTGGTTTTTGGCAACAAAAGGCCAGGATCCTCCAGATCTCTTGTCCTTTAAAGCATCACCCCACTGCCTGAAACCGTCCCCGCTTTGTTGCAGGTGCTGCAGCAGCAGGTGCTGCAGCAGCAGGAGCAGCCTGTGCCTTTAGCAGCAGGTCCTGCAGATGCTCTGGGGGATGATCCCAGCGGGGCAGAGCCTGGGGGTGGAAAGCAGCAGAGCTTGGCCAGAGCCCTGCAGCCACGTCTTTATCCTCAGCAGCTTCCACCTCACCTTGATAGTGACTCACTGACATTGCCTCGGTCACTTTTTCAGGTCCCTCCAGTGAAATGAAGGAAGAAATGAAGGACCTGAGGAGCAGAGTGGAAGCGTTGGAGCAGGTGAGTTGCAGCTCACCCCTCTGCCCTGTTCTGCTCAGCCAGCTCCCAGCCGGGGCTGTTTGCAGCCAGGGTTTCCCTCCTCCCCGGCTCTATTTTTAACATCCCAGCAGCAATCCCAGCTGTGCCGGCAGCGCCCACGCCGAGGCTTTTCCAGCCCTTTGAACACAACCACAGCCCTTTGAGCCCTCCGTGGTGGGTTCTGCATCCCCCCGGGTGGTCCTCCTGGCTGGGAGGGGGATGCACTCACAGCTCCCCTCTCCTTGCAGAAGCTGCAGCTGGTGCTGGCCCCTTTCCACAACCTGATGCTGCCGGAGGATGTCGGTGCAGACCCCATCAGCCGCCTGTCCCACTCCCTCCAGCAGCTGGACAGGATCGACTCCCTGAGCGAGCAGATCTCGTTCCTGGAGGAGCGGCTGGAGACCTGTAAGTGTCTGGAAAAAGCAGTGGGGAAGGATCTGCCTCCAGCCATGCTGGCCACGGGGAGCAGACGTGGGCCAGCGAGATCAGTAACACATATGCCACTGTTAATCTGGATCTGCCTCCAGCTCAGCAGCCTGTAATTAATAAAGGATGAACACAAACAGCCCATTAGCTTCATTTCAAAGCTGTTTCTATGGCTGCACCATCTGACTGCCCTTGTAGCAGCCAAATATTGTAGGATTGGCACATGGAAAGGTGCCTGTGGGGCAGAGCTGAGGGAGGCACTGGGAGCAGTGCACCTCACAGCTCCTGTCCCTTCCTGATCACTCGGTCCTTAGGAAAGAACCCCCAGCTTTTAGGAAATTAACAGTCCAAAAAGTCAATCAGGGAAGTTTAGGGAGCGTGCAGAATTTGGCAGATTTATGAGCCTGGGAAGTTTTAGGCATTTCTTCTGGAAGTTTACAGACCAGTAAGGGCACCAGAGAGGGTCTCTGAAGTAGCAAACTGAGGAAGAGACCACAGTGAGAGCTGTCATGTGTGAAATGGCTGGAGGTCACTGGTGTCCCCACCACGCAGAGGGACAGCATCCCCTCAGGTGCTCCAACCTTAACTCTGAACTTAAGTCTGAACTTTTTTATTTTGATAGGCAGCTCTTTGCAGCTCATTTTTCCTATTAAATAATTCCAGAAACTGGGCATTGCTGGGGTGTGTAACAGCAGCTTGCTGAGTCTTGGAAAGACTCAGGAGAAACTGGTTCAGGGCATATCCAGTCTCAGTTCAGTGCTTGCAGTAATGGCTGAGCAAGAAAAAGAATTCAAAGAACTTGTTTGAAGACAAAGTAGCTGCAAATAGACACTTTAAAACCATCTCAGAAAGGGGTAATTACCAGAACCACTGAGTGTTCCAGCAGGCTGAGTTTTCTAGTAGGGCTCTCCATATATTATTAGTGACAGCACAGAGGAATGTGAGCAGTATCACAAGGTAACATGGATTCATTCCAAGGGATGACTCCAAAGTCCCGAAAATAATTTCTGCCAAGTCTGTCTCATCAAGCAAAACCTGTTTTTGTCTCTTTTCATGGTCTTGCAAGTCCCTGTAGGCCACAAAGTTGTCCTGGCATACCCCAGCGAGCTCTGGGGCTCACAGGGCGTCCCATGGAGTTCCTCAGCCATCCCTGTTCCGTGCCTGGTGGAGCATTTCCCAACTGAATGCTACCCTACAACTGCACTCCCCAATTAACTGCTCAGTGGGGATGTGTGCAATGACCAAAAAAAACCATTTTCTCTTCTTTAAACCATCAGCAGAGGCACCAGGTCAGAGCTCTTTAAGCCATTTTGGCCCCTCTAGGTCTAAATTACCCCTGATCCAGCACAGACTGTGACTGTCACTGGATTTGGGGACATTGTGCACAGGGCCCAGGCAAGAACTGTGACATGCCAGGGAGGTGAAAGTGACACTCCTGAGTGTGGGGGGATGGAGCAGCAAGTGTGGGTGACATTCCTAGAGGTTCAGGTCAGTTCGTTCTGCCTGGGAAAGACACAAACCAAAGCCAGGCTAATGACTGAATTTATTATTTTTTTTCTAATCTTCCCAGGTTCCTGCAAGAACGAACTCTAACAGAGTGCCTGGGGATCTGGAGCAAGCTGAGTGCATCCACAGCTCTTATCTCTTATCTCCAGGCTGGGGGTGAAGACACACCATCTACAAGAAGGCACAGGGTAGCAGGAGGAGGCTGGGCTCCCAGCAATATCTCCATCCTCCTGTCTTCCAGCTCACCTCACCAAAGGGCACCCAGTTCCTGCCAAAGTGGACTCTGAGCCCTCTCCCTGCTGGAGAGGCAGCAAATAAATGCCTTATCTCGTGCCATGAGTGCCTGGCTGTACCAGACTGGCTGTGTGTGACCTGGGGGGTGTTCAGCTTTTCCTCAGTGTTATCCTGGGATAACATCCCCCATGGAGCAGTGGGCACAGACCTGGCCCAGGCAGGGCAGCTGCCTCCCCACACTCCCAGTGCTTGCTGGCACATGGAGAAGGTGGGGACAAGTCCCTGCAGCCCCAAGGCAGGTGTCACAGCAGGGGACAGGTGCCTCTGGGTACAGGAGTGGGTGCCCATCCCTGCAGCTCCTGTTTTGCTCTCCAGGACACAGGAGGGCAGAGGCACAGGCAGGGGAAAAAGACCACCCCTGTCCCTCCATCACCGAACCCAGCCCCTGCAAGAGCTCAGGGCTCAGCTCCCCACATCCTCCTCCCTCAGCCCCCACACAAGACCAGGAAGCTCCTTGATTTAAATAACCAAAGGTGTAATTTCTGGTTTTTGGTTTTTGGGTTTTTTTTGTTTTTTTTTTTCCTGTAAAGCATCACATTCTCACATTACCTTCTCAGCCCAATTAAAAGTGAACAGCAGACAACTGCACATAGAGGCACTGCTCCCTCCTCCCAGGAGGAGTCAGACATGATTCCCCTCCCCAGGAGCCCTCCCAGGGCCCTCCCGGGCTGACCCTCCATGGCAACCCTTTGTCTGCCACTCTCACAAAGTGCTGGTTTGGTTCCCATCCTCCCACCCCGACCCTTCCCCTCCCCTGAGTCTGTACTGTAAGGCCCCTCCAGTGAAGCCCCTGGCAGCACCAGCTCAGCCCTTCCATGGAGCTCCCTGCCTTTCCCAGCTGAGGCTTTAGCCCCAAAATGCCAGAAAAACACAACTCCACCAATGCAGGCTGCAGGAGCTGGGTGTGCTGGTTACCTGAGTAGCTCCAGGTGGCTCATCCCAAGGTCCCCTGTGCCATGAACAGGAGAGTTAAAGCTACAGGAACCATGGACCTGACCCAGCCACCAAGGGCATCAACGTTCCACAGCTCCCAGTCAGAGATCCAGGAGCTCTGTTGGTCCATCACCCCCAAAGCACAGGGGAACCCCTTTTATCTGACTGACAAAGAGGTTGATATCCCCCAAAGGGGGAGCTGAAGCCTTCCAAGCCTTCCCAGCCCCGTTCCAGCTGCAGCTCACCCACCCTGTGGCTCTGCAGGGGTTTTACAGGCCTTGGAGAGCGGCAGCTCCGCCCCGCAGATCAGCAGAGACGCGGGACAGGCACCATCTTTCGGCCAGTGCTGACCATGACAAGTGACAAAACGAGCACGACAGAGCCCTTTGCCTCCGTGAGGGGCAATGCAGGCACCGGGATGTGACCAGGTGAGCCACCATCACGGCAGGCAGCTGGCAGCAGTTTCCCAAGGTGATGCTGTTGTGACACAAGGGCATCTCAAGGGGACAGGCCCGCGAATCCCGCTGGTGGGTGGCAGTGCTCTGGGCTGTCCAGGGAGGACACCACACTCCTAGTGCTGCCGAAAAGCCAAAATGTGGATTTTCACTCAGTTCTCAGCCCTGTTTGAGCATCAAGGTTGTGCTGATACAAACTGCTGCCGGGCCAGCACGAGCTGAGCCTGCAGGAACACAGGTGCAGGGACAGTCACACGAGGCAGAGCTCAGGCTCCAGGCAGGATTTTGCTGTCACCCCGTGCCAGCTGAAAGAGCTGGGGGAACTCACCAATGTGGTCATTGAGCCCTTTGGTAGCACAAGTTTGATGCCTGAGAAATTCAGAAAAAGGAGACATTTCAAAGTGAGAAAATGAACGCATAAGAGAAATCCACTCAAAGGGGAACCTTAGTGCTGGCTTGACACCCTGTGTGCCAGTCTGTGGCTGCTCCCAAGAGTTAGAAATCACTGCAGAGGAGAAGTTCCTTCAGTATTTGGCAAGGACAGGTCCCTTCAGCCACCACCACACGGTGACACCACTGGAGAAACCTCTAGGATGAGTTCTTTGCCTCGCTTGGACGGCCTGACAGCCTGAAGAGGGTTTCCCTCATGGTGCTGAAGCATCTGTCAGTGAGGTCGGTGACATCGTCTGACGTCAGCCCTTTGGTCTCTATTGGAGGCAGAACCTCAACCTTGATTTTGCCTGAGGACAAGAGAGGAGCCTGTAAGAAACCCACACACCACAGGGTGTTCTCTGCCCTGTTCCCCACCCTGGACACCCCCAGCACAGCTCTCAACCCCTCCCAGGGCTTCAGGTATCCATCCCTGGAGCAGAGTTAGATCCCAGCTCCAACAGCTGTGCCACCCAGAATAATCCCCCTGTGCCCCAAACTGCCATCCCACCCAGAGCCTGCCCAGAGCAGGAGGTGCTAACCAATTTTTAATGAAAACATCCCTCAATGTGTTTAATTACAGCCCTTCCTGAGTTAACCCAGCCCAGGCTGTGGTGCCAAGTGCTTTGAACTGCCTCCAAACATCTCCCAGCAGGGCTCCTCCTGTTCACTCCAGCTCTGCTTCCCTCCCACACCCCTGTGAGCCAGATCTCCACACGGGACAACAGCAACCTTGTCTCCAAGTGACTCTTTGTTACCTGATGTAAATAGCTTTGTCTTTGGGTTATAGAAGCTGGTGAAGGAGGAATACACCACAGGGATCACTGGAACCTTGGGGAAGGGAAGAAAAAGAGGAGTTACTGGCACTTCAGCAGCTCAGGGCAGGCCAGAGACAGGCAGCAAATTCTACACAGCAGAGCTGACCTGGCCTGGCTGTCAGACACACACACAGAGGGTACACACAGCCCCACAAACAACACCCGCTTCCAAAGGCTGGAACAATCAACAGCCAAATGGAATCAAAACCACTCCCCAAAAACTCAAGGGATACACAAGGAACCAGGGCCAAGTTCCATTCCAGCCTCAGCTCAGCACTGACTTTTAGAGCTCCTTGACCCAAGTGAGGCTTCAAACCTCAGGTATTTCTGTCCTGCAATCAAACACTGCAGGCTGCCTGTTGTGACAGGCCTTGCCTGCTGTGACAGGCCTTGCCTGCTGTGACAGGCACGTGTCTGGGGCAGGGTGGCTGCTCTGCTTTCAGTTTCTAAGAAAAGGAGCCACCAGTTGTTATCAGTTGCTCCTGGGGAAGCTTCAGACAGACACAGGGCCAGGAGGGCAGGCAGAGCTGTTGTTGCAGTGCTGGTAACACAGCCAGGATCCATAGTTGGTGACTCAGGGGGGTGTAGCAGAGGCGGGGACCAGCTCCATGTCATCCTTTCCTCCCAGCAGCTGCCAGGCTCTGCCTTGGCTGCATCACCCAGACAGGAATGGGGATGGTACAACACAGGCTACACCCTGGGCTTGGCCAAACGAACACAGCGAGGGAGCTGGCATCTCTTCCTTTTCCCAAAATCCCTGCTGTAACACCTCTCCTGGGGAAACCAGTTTCCTCTGAGGTCTCGAGTCATCCCAGTCTCTGGCACACTGCCCCAGCACTGTGCCCAGGCAAGCACCCTGCTCCTGAGACAGCTCTGGCTGGCTGAAGCTGTTTGCCTGCTCCCCCACTAAGCACTAATGGATGCTGTTATTTTGGAGAGAAAAGACATACCAAGAACTGCCATATGGCTGCCAGGGAGGCAGCAGCTATTTTCACACA